TGTTAGACTCATGAATCTCTAACTAGAATAATCACTGTGAAAAACCATATCATGTTGCTGCTGATCTGTTTCATGTTGCTGCTGATCTGTTTCAATGTTGATGTGTTCATGCGTGCACATCTGCTCACAGACTCATGTTCATGTTTGTGCTGATGTTCAATGTTTTATGTTATGAGTGCTTAGTGTATATTTAGTTGATGTTTTTCTTAGTTCATATCTTAGATGTCATTACTGTTTTTCTTATACATTTTATTGTTGGATGTAACTGGGACCCTGCGTACATAATTTCGCTCCACCACATGTACCACATGAGGTGCGAATGACAATAAAGAAACTCTGACTCTGACTCTGATATATATATATTATGTGTGTATGTGGGTGCGTGACTGTTCAACTCCCTGGGCCGACAACATCAAAGTCAAAGTTTCTTTATTTGTCGTTTGCACCAAGAAATACGCTAAACTAAGAATACACTAAGCACTAATAGTACAAATAGTACTAAGCACTAAATTTGTATGGAAAAGGTGAAACACCCTCACCTGCTGTCTCCACCCTCATTTGACCCACTCTGGGCCCTTGAGCAATGCCCTTAACCCCCAACATCTGCTCCCCTGGGCACCATAGGTGGCAGCTTTCTGCTCCACACAGAGGGCTGTGGTAGCTTGCGGGTATGTGGTTGCGTCAAGAAGGCATCCATCATCCTCCATCAAACTAAAAATGCCACGCCACACTGGACTCTTACCGCAACACTGACACTGTACACTGACACTGTACACTGACACCACCGAGGTGCTCCACAGAACGCCGCAGGAAGTCCTTCCTCAACCCCTTTATATACTTAGGCCAATAAAATTAATCCTGTACTACAATAAACACTTTAATGTTTCTGTCTGCACCTGACCTGTTTTAGACCTTCATTGCTGGTATTCTTATATTCTTTGTTATTTTATTTATCTTGTGTGATTCCTTGTGTATGTTCCTTTGTACTGAAACTCTGGCACAAAAAATTTCCTGTGGGATCAATAAAGTGTTACCTTATCTTATCTTATCTTATCTTATCTTATCTTATCTTATCTTATCTTATCTTATCTTATCTTATCTTATCCATCATAAAAACAGTTGCCAGTCTTTGGGAGTGGTGATCCCTGAAGAAGGGAGCAGCCGAAAGAAAACAGAGATATAACAAGAAGAGAGTGGTTAGGTGGTTCAGTGGTTTAGTTGGTAGACCTGTTGTCTCTGTTGCCTGGGGCCTTTCTGGGTGGAGTTTGTATGTTCTCTCCGTGTATGCATGGGTTTTCTCTGGGTTTTTCGGTTTCATCCCACAGACCCAAAACATTCATGTTAGGCTGATTGGTAACTCTAAATTGTCCCTATGTGTGAATGATTATTTGTTACTTTTCTCTCCATGTGGCCCTGTGATGGACTTGTGACCAGTCCAGGGTGTATCCTGCCCCCTGCACAGTGACATACAGTGATCTTTCAACCCAGAAAAGGAGAATCAGGTTAAGAGTAATGGCTAGAGACAATAATTTATGATGAAGTAGTATGTGTACAGCAGGATCACTTGGCACTGATAGCGGTTGTTGACAAGTTCTGCCAAAAGATTGGACTTAATCATCTGAACAAGTTCAATTTAAAGTGTAGTTTCAAAATCATTTGTCAGTTATGAACTGATAACAGAGATGTGTGTTTGCGGTTCAAACATTTAATGAGGAACATGAGGAAAGATAAGAGAAAGTTAATTTAAAAAATAAAATCTCAAGCTTTAACTTTTCAATTGTATTTCAAGTTTCTTGTTCAGAAGTCAAGATCTGAACTTTTTAGTTGACAATTTTTTCTAGCAAAACCTTCTGTGTTTATACGCTTCGTTTAAATGAAATGTCGGGTTATTTGGAAGCGGTGGAAGTGGTCTCCAGCTACAAGTACTTGGGTGTACACATGAATGACAACCTCAGCTGGAGCAACAACACCACCAGCCTGATCAAGAAAGCTCATCAGAGACTCTACTTCCTCAGACGGCTGAGGCGAGCTGGTCTGGGAAGCTCAGTCCTCACCTCCTTCTACAGGTGTGCAGTGGAGAGCATCCTGTGCTCGAGCATCAATGTGTGGCATGGAGGCTGCACAGCTGCAGAAAGAAAAGCTTTGCAGAGAGTGGTGAAGGCTGCACAGAAATCTGTTGGAATCAGTCTCCCCACCATCACAGACATCTACACCTCCAGATGCAGGAAGAGGGCCACCTGCATCATGAAGGACCCCACCCACCCAGCACACTCACTTTTTGCCCCACTCCCCTCAGGAAGGAGGTTAAGGAGCATTAAGTGTAGAACCACTAGACTGAGGAACAGCTTCTACCCTGAGGCTGTTAGACTCATGAATCTCTAACTAGAATAATCACTGTGAAAAACCACATCATGTTGCTGCTGATATGTTTCAATGTTGATGTGTTCATGCGTGCACATCTGCTCACAGACTCATGTTCATGTTTGTGCTGATGTTCAATGTTTTATGTTATGAGTGCTTAGTGTATATTTAGTTGATGTTTTTCTTAGTTCATATCTTAGATGTTATTACTGTTTTCTTATACATTTTATTGTTGGATGTAACTGGGACCTTGTGTTCATAATTTCGCTCCACCACATGTACCACATGAGGTGCGAATGACAATAAAGAAACTCTGACTGACTCTGACTTTAGACGTCAGTCTTATTGCTAGTTTAATTATTTTTAAATAAACAAACGTTATTGGTAATATTTTTTAAATTTACAAGCATGACATCAATTCACTCATCATATAAAAATATTTTTTCTTTGTTTAGCCTTTTAAGTCAGTTACAGTATTTTAACATTTAAGAAATCTACGTTTTTTTGTAAATTACAGAAACGGCTTTGATCACTGTTTTTTTTTTATCTAAATATTTATATGTTGTGGGGGAATGACAGTTTAACATAAGTTGGATTCTGCTTTTGGATAAATTTGATTATACATTTAAACCTTTATATCTTTATTTAAAGATATGAAGTAAGGAAATAAGAAAATTAATTTGACTGGTCATTTGATTAGGTTCTGTATAATTATTTAAAGAAAACAATGTGGCTTTGCTTTTTGCTAAAGTCCAATATTTTTGCAAAAAAAAGTTTTTTGTTTCTAAATAAGATTTATACTCCTGAAGACAAAACAATGAGAAGTTGTTTAATAAAAAAATAAACATCAAACTTGAGAACAGAAAGATGTAAAACACAGTAAAAATAATTACAGATCAGAAACGGTATGTAAGATTTTGATACTTAATAAAATATACTTAATGAAGCATGTGAGAGCTGCAGCTGTCAACTTCCGGTGTAGGAGTGACGTACTGCTGCGTGTTTTTGTTTACGACGGGTCACGCTCACCGAAAGTAGGTCATGGAAAAACAAAGCGAGCTCAGCTACCCATTCACAAGTCGTCATTTAACCAGCTAACTCTAAAGACAGTGAAGACTACATTTTGTATTTTATTTGCCAATAAAACAGCAGGACACCCAGGAAACGCGAATCTCGTTCCTTTCCATTCAGGCCAGTGTTGCTAGCAGCTACAGCAATTAGCTTCTTTACGCTAGCACCTTTTTGTGCATCTCCAGGTACGTCTTGCTACTTTACATGCTCATTACATTGCTAACTCTACTGTGTGATAGTTTATGCACGTAAATGAAGCATTAAACTGACACATGGCATTCTATGACATTATTTTAACATTTTACGTAATAATTTACTAGCTAAAGTCGTGGTGTTAGCCGTGGTTAGCTGCTATCGTTAGCCTCGCTAAGTGGCTAAGAGAAACATCGCGCATCAACTATTTATTTATTGTTGATGCCAGTGATTATATCAAATTTCATTTATTAAGATGGCTCTATTTTGTGCAGCTTGGACGTGAGTTTTTGTTACAAATTACACCCAGTCTTGTTTTTATTTTGCGGTATTTAGGTTTTCCCTGGTTTAAAAATCTGCTAAATTTAAGTGATACATATCATTTAAAATTTAATACAGCTTAAGAAGGAGCTGTTTTAACATAATGCTAGTACAGAAAATACATTTCAGTTAAGTTATTGTGCTTAAATACATTTCACAAAACGTTTATATTTTTAAATATTGTTGCATTAAAATGCTTTGTTGTATTATTATACAATATATACATGCATAATATATACTTGTCTTATGTATAAGTGTCTTTTCCACTTTTGTTTCTGGGCTTCTGCAATTACTACTGATGGAAAAATGAGAGTAAATGTTTCTCAGATACAAACGAACAGGATTATCAAGATTAAAAAAGGTTTCTTAGATTAGAGCATGCTGAGTGCAAAAACTAAAACTAAAAAATCTGAAAGCAGTAATAAAAAGAAAACAGTTGATGTGACAGTGCAGATTTAACGGTGACTCGGAGCGGTCATGTTGCATTCTTGACTTTCAGCAGCTGGACAGATGCTCTGCTTCAAGCATCTGGACTAAACCACGACTGGTTCTCAAGCTTCTTTATCTTGTGAGACTCTGTTGCGAACATGTCGAGACGAAGCCGAAACAGTGATTCGTGGGAATCTGTTTGGGCTGGGCTCCACTGGGATGCCGACGCCGGGGCTCTTGTGTTGTCCACTGAAGCTGAAGAATGGAGCTATGACCGACTTGAGGTACGAGTAAAACTCACAGAGATATGAAGCATCAAGTATTTGTTCACGCAATTTGCTTCATTTTTTCTAATCAAGATGCGCTGTGTAGGTACAATCGTATTACCGCTAATTACTAATTTTGTTTTTATCTTCCTGAATTTTGACTTCCTCAGTACAGTGATTCGGATTCTGAGGGTGACTGTTCGGGAGTGATGAGTCCTAAGGTCCCCAGTGCAATACCCGTTATAGGAGAGTCGTACTGCAGCTGTGATTACCAGACAGAGACCAGTTACAACCCTCGTTTTCGAGGATTTCACCAAATTAAAGACTGCCACTGTGGAGAGGATGACCAGGGTAAACTAGGACGCAACCATATCGAAATTCTTAATTTTGTCTTTACGCACTACAGTCTGATGCCACAAAAATAGTAAAAACGATAATTTTATCTGTTGATTTGTGTTTGGTTAAAAGTGAACAGTATTTAATTGTTACATTCAACTTGCCCTAAATGTATGACCCCTTATGTTTCAGATTTTGACTGGGCTTGGGACATAAGCGGACGATCAACAGCAACTTTATTGAGCTGCGACAATCGCAAAGTGAGTTTCCATTCCGACTACAGCTGTGGTACGGCAGCAGTCCGCGGCTCCAAGGAGCTGGCTGATGGGCAGCACTTTTGGGAAATCAAGATGACATCTCCGGTGTACGGAACAGATATGGTAAGCCTCCACTACCATTAAAATCAGAAGTTAAATAAAAGCTCATCTGTGGCTAAACATTCATTTCTGAATAGATGGTTGGAATTGGATCATCTGATGTAAATCTAGACAAATTCAAGCACACGTTCTGCAGCTTGTTGGGGAAAGATGCAGACAGCTGGGGTCTTTCTTACACCGGTAAGATCAACAGTAATGTGACACAGCAGTATCGGCTTGATACAGATGTGGTTACAAACAGTGATGTTCCTTTTGCAGGCTTGTTGCATCATAAAGGAAAGAAGATAAACTTCTCTTCTTGTTTTGGACAAGGATCAATCATCGGAGTTCATCTGGACACATGGCACGGCACTCTGACTTTCTTCAAGAATCGCAAGTGCATTGGTTAGTACAGAATCTGCTGCTGATTAAAGTCCACAATCATTGTGTAGTTAAAAATATGTGGACTCCAAGGCTGTTTTAATTTCTTGAAATACTTAAGGCCTTAAACAAAACACTAATGCTTTATTTTTTGTTAAAAGGTGACTAGAGCAGATATTTGAAAATGAAAGGTTAAAAATACTAAAAACATAAAAAAATAAAACAGGCAAATTAAAAGTAACAGGAAGTTGGGGATCGTTTGAAGTTGAAAAAAGGAAAACCGCGATCGGTTTATTGTTAAACTGAATTAAACCAGCTTGACCATGTTTGAGCAGAAAGCTTCAAACTTATGAAAAAGTTGAAACAAGGTAACATTATTTTTAACATTTAATTAAACTGATTATTATATGAAACTTGTTAAAAGTGTAGATTTAAGATTTTGATGTTGTTTGCGTTCACGTGTTCCGCTCGGGTTTAGTTTTTATTACATGCCATATGTGATGTTAATGCAGTAACTTGTCAATTAAGACAAGTGTTAAGATTCAGTTAAGTGTTCACATCAATTAAGGTGATAAATTATCTAGATGTGGACAGCAGCAATATTTTCTTAAAGCAAGCATTTTTTTTTCTTATGTCCGAGGTTTAACGTGGTCTTTTTTGTTCAATGTGTGATTGGTGCCACGTTTAAAAGTGCTCTAATAAAAGTTCAGTTGGTGTCTGGTTTTCACGTGGCTGTCCGCTCAAACTTGACGCAGCCTTACAGAGAGGTGAAAGTGATATAGAACATGTTTCTGTTGAGTCCGAGTCATGAATGAATCCTTCAGCGTTATTAATCTGCTTTCACATTAAACATAATATCTGACAGGCAGGTGTTTAAACTATGATCTAATAAACTGATTATTCATTAACAAGAAGCCATGTCCAGTGTAAATGTTCCTTTAGTGCTTTATTAGTTACATAGTAACAGAGCTGTGGAAGCCTCGGATTGGTCTAATTGTTTTTTTTTTCAAGTTATGGTAGCTGTGATTAAATGAACTTATGTGGATTGATCACATTTGACGAGCACCTTGTTGTCCACATGGCTCAGGTTAACTCATGACAACATGGCGCTCATCTCCACAGGGTGCCAGACTTCTTAAAATGTAGATCCAAATAGTAATGTTCAAAAGTAGCAGCTACAATCATTAAAAAATATATTTGTAGTTTTCTACGTAGTTCATATAAAACAGTATCTGAACAGAATGCAACATGGGAGGTTTTTTTTTTTATGCAAACCTTTGATAATACAGTTAAATTATTTGTCATATTGCATTTAAACAAAAATGTATGTGTGTGTGTGTGTGTGTGTGTGGGGGGGGGGGGGGTTATACATCAAAAGTATAAACTCCTAAAGGTTTTCTCCACTTTATGTGTGGGTTATCTCAAACTGAAGTTGAAAAGCTTCATATTAAACTAAACAACTGTAACTTGTAATGTGTGTGTGATTTTCTGACCCAAACTGAGCACGTTTCTCCTTCTCCATCCAGGAGTTGCAGCCACAGAGCTACACAATAAGAGGTTTTACCCCATGGTGTGCTCCACAGCAGCCAAAAGCAGCATGAAGGTCATCAGGTCGTGCTCCGCCCCCACCTCGCTCCTGTACCTGTGCTGCGCTCGCCTTCGCCGCCTGGTGCCAGACTGTATAGACACGCTGGACGTATTGCCGCTGCCGCCTGGCCTACGTCACTTGCTCCACAACAAACTGGGGTGGGTGCTCAGTCTGAACGGAGGCAACACAGAAGAGAACCCGGACAGGCCTGAGCCGTCCTCTCACTCGACCGTCACCCCCTCGACTGGACCGTCTTATTCTGAGAGTGACTCAGAAGGGTGTACGTCTGACCCCGAAGCCTGTAAGAGGAAGAGGTGCCGCTGGACGTGACGGGTCAGCTCCAATCCTCGCGTCTGTTTTAACACTCAGCGGTGACAAACTGTGGCGTCCAGCCTTGTGGACCGGCCAGCGTCGGTCGGGGGCGAGTTAAGCCGAGGGAGCAGTACATCACTGGAAAATGTGTTTTTCTTCCGCTGCACCTTCACCGTGACCTTGCTACTTTATATTTATCGCACGTCAGTATCCAAACCTTATCCGTCACAATGTATTTTAAAGAATAGCACAGATTGTTGCAACTCGTGTGGACCGCAGGAATGTTCATGTAACAATGGCGTCACGGAAAGCCAAATTCTGGTGGTCATGATGGTATATTTGGAAGAAAAGGATTAAAACATCTTCCGTGTCCTGTATGCACATAATATGTGGTGGTTGTTTTTTTTTTTACCTAAACGCTCTCAATACATTACCAAAGTAGTCTGTTACCTGCTTTACTGGCTTTTGTTGGTTATTAGTGAGTTGATTTTGTTATAAATGTTGGAGAAAGAAAAAACTAAAACTGTCTCTTAAATGTTACGAGACACAAACTGGAATGCACTTTGTATCGTTTAGTCCTCGGCTAACAGAAATGTTTCTTATTGTCATTAAAAATATTCTGTAAATGTGTCACTCTGGATCAAATTTTCATTGCTCCCATCTTATATTAACCGATTTTAAAAATTTATTTTTTTTATGCAGAATCCAATTCTGTTTTTCTGTTTATGCAAAGATATTTTATTGAATCTTTGTTCCATGTATTTCTGTTCAAATTGTTCTGTAACTGAATCTTTTTTTTTAAAGGTTATAAAAATAAGTTGTCTAATCGAAAACGTTTTGTGCTCTAATCTGCTCACCGTTTATTCCTTATATTTTCTTTTTCAAGCTATAGTTGTACAGTCGCTAAAGAAAAATCTGATCGTTTTGGCTGTGTCAGACGTGTAAATTAAGTTATAAAACGTTTCATCATAATAAAGTCTGTTTTCTCCACTGTTCTCATTAAGAAACAGTAATCTCTGTAGGTCTGTTTTTATTGTGATGTCATCAGCTCTAATGGACGAGTAAATATATGAAGTTTAATGAGGAGATGTTAATTTTGTGGGTCATCTTTTGTTCTTGGACCAGTTAGTCAACTGAAGGCAAAATCTTATGGGTTATTTTAGATAAAAATCTAAATTTCAACCACTAATAAAACCTGAGTGTGGGGAATGTCCAAATATATAAAACTGACTAAACCAGTAACCTACTGTTGACTTTTTGTGTAAAATGGTACAAACTTCATGGCAGGCTGGTCATCTTTTGTGATGACTTAAAAAAAAAAAGCAACCCCCACCCTTAAGGTCAGTGTTCTGTGGTTCTGGCAACAAGTCTATTCAGGTTCAGGTCCATGATCTTTGTCTATAATCAGAATTGCATCCTGTTTGGGACCAAACTGCTCCGGCTCCACGTTAAGTGGGTGCTCCTCGACTTCAGCAATCTTTAAATCAAACCAGAGATCCTCCATTAGATTGAGGTCTGGACCCTTCCAGGATATTTGACTGTTTCTCCTAAAACTACCGGAGCGTTGCTTCAGTGGTGTGTTTAGGGTTATTGTCCTGGACGATCTCATATTGCTTGGTGATTATCCATACTTGATGGATCTATCCTCCCTTTCACTCTGACCAGCCCCTGCTGATGAAAAATCCCCACAACATGATGCTGCCACCCTTGTGCTTCACTGTAGAGATGGTGCTTTCAGCATGATGAGTGGTGATTAACAGTCACTGTGTTGTCCTCAAGTTCAAGTATCTTTATTGTCGATCCATCACATATGGTACATGAGGTGGAACGAAATTATGTACACAGGGTCCCAGTTACACCCCAAAATAGCAAAATTTGAAGTATAAAAAGAAAAAGTAAATAAGGATCTAAGATATACAGGTCCTTCTAAAAAAACTGGCATATTGTGATAAAGGTCATTATTTTCCATAATGTAATGATAAAAATGAAACTTTCATATATTTCAGATTCATTGCACACCAACTGAAATATTTCAGGTCTTTAATTGTTTTAATACTGATGATTATGGCATACAGCTCGTGAAAACCCAAAATGCCTGTCCCAAAAAATTAGCATATCATGAAAAGGTTCTCTAAACAAGCTATTAACCTAACCATCTGAATCAATGACGTAACTCTAAACACCTGCAAAAGATTCCTGAGGCTTTTAAAAACTCCCAGCCTTGTTCATTACTCAAAACTGCAATCATGGGTAAGACTGCCGACCTGACTGCTGTCCAGAAGGCCATCACTGACACCCTCAAGCAAGAGGGTAAGACACAGAAAGAAATTGCTGAACTAATAGGCTGTTCCCAGAGTGCTGTATCAAGGCACCTCAGTGGGAAGTCTGTGGGAAGGGAAAAGTGTGGCAGAAAACGCTGCACAACGAGAAGAGGTGACCGGACCCTGAGGAGGATTGTGGAGAAGGGCCGATTCCAGACCTTGGGGGACCTGCGGAAGCAGTGGACTGAGTCTGGAGTAGAAACATCCAGAGCCACCGTGCACAGGCGTGTGCAGGAAATGGGCTACAGGTGCCGCATTCCCCAGGTCAAGCCACTCTTGAACAAGAGACTGCGTCAGAAGCATCTTGCCTGGGACTGCTGCTGAGTGGTCCAAAGTTATGTTCTCTGATTACAGTAAATGTTGCATTTCCTTTTGAAATCAAGGTCCCAGAGTCTGGAGGAAGAGAGGAGACACAGAATTCACATTGCTTGAGGTCCAGTGTCAAGTTTCCACAGTCACTGGGGTATCATGTCAGCTGCTGGTGTTGGTCCACTGTGTTTTATCAAGGGCAGGGTCAATGCAGCTAGCTATCAGGAGATTTTGGAGCACTTCATGCTTCCATCTGCTGAAAAGCTTTATGGAGATGAAGATTTCATTTTTCAGCACGACCTGGCACCTGCTCACAGTGCCAAAACCACTGGTAAATGGTTTACTGACCATGGTATTACTGTGCTCAATTGGCCTGCCCACTCTCCTGGCCTGAACCCCATAGAGAACCTGTGGGATATTGTGAAGAGAAAGTTGAGAGACACAAGACCCAACACTCTGGATGAGCTTAAGGCTGCTATCGAAGCATTCTGGGCCTCCATAACACCTCAGCAGTGCCACAGGCTGATTGCCTCCATGCCACGCCGCATTGAAGCAGTCATTCATGCAAAAGGATTCCCGACCAAGTATTGAGTGCATAACTGAACATGATTATTTGAAGGTTGGCGTTTTTTGTATTAAAAACACTTGTCTTTCATTGGTGGGATGAAATATGCTAATTTTTTGGGACAGGCATTTTGGGTTTTCATGAGCTGTATGCCATAATCATCAGTATTAAAACAATTAAAGACCTGAAATATTTCAGTTGGTGTGCAATGAATCCGAAATATATGAAAGTTTCATTTTTATCATTACATTATGGAAAATAATGACCTTTATCACAATATGCTAATTTTTTGAGAAGGACCTGTATGTACACTAAATAAAAACCAAACGGTACGCTAAAAGATATACAGTATACACTGTACTATGTAAAACAATATGGCGTAACAACAACACCCTAGATGTTTGAGTTTGGCTTCATCTGATATCATCTTCCATGTTTTGACAAAAATAAATTAAACCATGCAGTGTCTTTTCAGCTCTGTGCATCTTCTAATGGTCCTACAGACAGATCTGAGCTGTCCAACATAAAACCTATTGTAGCACGAAGAAACTATAAATTAACTTGAACGCATCACATGTGGTACATGAGGTGGAACGTAACTGTGTACTCAAGGTCCCAGTTACACCCAACAATAGCAAAAATCTAAAAGTATAAAAAAGAAACAGTATACAAGGATCTAAGATATACACTAAACAGTAATAATATAATACTGTATACGGTGTATTAAAAAGCAGCTTGAACACGAGTCTGTTGTGAGCAGATGGGGAGCAGCTTATGGGTAAGAAATCAGCAGCACAGATAAAGTCACATATCACCAATCAAAGTGGCATTACAGTGATTTCTCTGGTTAGGGATTCATGATTGAGTCTAACAACCTCAGGGTAGAAGCTGTTCCTCGCTCTAGTGGTTCTACACTTAATGCTCCTCAACCTCCTTCCTGAGGGGAGCGGGGCAAAAAGTGTGTGTGCTGGGTGAGTGGGGTCCTTCATGATGCAGGTGGTCCTCTTCCTGCATCTGGAGGTGTAGATGTCTGTGATGGTGGGGAGACTGACACCAACAGTCTTCTGTGCAGCCTTCACCACTCTCTGCAAAGCTTTTCTTTCTGCAGCTGTGCAGCCTCCATGCCACACGTTGATGCTGGAGCACCAGATGCTCTCCACTGCACACCTGTAGAAGGAAGTGAGGACTGAGCTTCCCAACCCAGCTCGTCTCAGCCGCCTGAGGAAGTAGAGTCTCTGATGAGCTTTCTTGATCAGGCTGGTGGTGTTGTTACTGTGGTGAAGTTAGTTTCACGTTGGACATTTGAGCTCCGTGGCTTCAGTAGTTCACCATGATAGTGTAGTTGCCCCAGCTGATGTTATCATTCAGGTGCACACCCACGTACTTGTAGCTGGAGACCACTTCCAACATAACCCAACACTTGAATAAACTTGCTTTATTCAAAGTCTACAGACCCTTTCCAAAATATTAGAATATCATGGAAAAGTTGTTTAACTTCCATAATTCTATTCAAAAAGTTATTTTTTAATAGATGATAGATTCAGGGCCCACAATTTAAACTATTTAAAGTATTTATTTGTTTATTTTTACATAATTTGGGCTTCCAGATCGTGAAACCCCACAAAAATAGGATTTCAAAAAATTAATTACTGTGGAGAAATCAGCCCAAATTTTGCAGGGCATGAATGTTTTAAACTGAGTGTGACACTAATCATCTACTAAACTCAAAGCACATGCACAGGTTTCCCCAGGTGTCATTAAATCGCTTCAGTTTGGTTCAGTTGTCTCAATTCATTTCAATATGGGGACGACTGCAGACATAACTGGCTAGAAGACCATCATTGATACCCTCCATAGGATGGGTAAGCCACAAAAGTTCATAGCTAAGGAGGCTGGCTGTTCACAGAGTGCTGTGTCCAAGCACATCAATGGAAAGTCTAGTGGAAGGGCAAAAAGTGGCAGGAGAAGATGCACCAGCTAAAGAGATGACAATGGGCTTCAGCGGATTATCAAACAGAGAAGACTCCAGAATCTGGCAGAGATCCAGAAAGAGTGGAA